TAGTTAATCTTATTTGAATCTGTTCTTTGGCTATTTCAGAAACACACATACAAAAAGTGCTTTTTGGATCAATATTTACAATTAAATTTCAACTATACACAAATTTATGACAAATTTGTTAGACAGAAATTGAGCAAAGAGGCCTGCTTTAATTATTTTTGAATGGATATTAATTCAAATGGGAATTGGATGGTTTGTTTTTTACATGTGTCCCAGATAGCTGAAACAAGCAGCCCATCTTTGTTTGAGACTATCCAATCCTGATCTAAGAAAAATCTAAAAGAAAACTACTATACATCTGCAGCACTCTGCCTGGAGACAAATGTGCTCAACCTTAAACATTGAATGTATGAGATTGTTTAATGTCTCTAAAGTTAAATTTTCTACCTCAGTTCTTGGTCCCATTCATTCTGGTTGATTCCTTTTTCACCTAGGAAATTAGATCCAAGCGAAATATGGTGCAACAAGGTCTTATCCCCAAGAAGCCTTTGCACATGGGATAAGATTCCATAAAAAATATCTTGAAATGCAGACTGATTGATATACATAAGTAGGTAAATCAATGCAGAATTTCTGCAAGTAGCTTGTTAAGTGACTTGGTATACTGTACATTCCCCAAGCAGCTCAATATTTTAAATATCTCACTTTCTCAAAGTTCTGGAAAAGTTTCACACTTTATCACTTTTATATGCTTCCATGAACAATTCTTAAAGTAGATATAAGATAGATATGAGATCTCCCAGAGTTAAATCAAATCACAACAATAGCATTCTATCACAGGTGTTTGCAAAAAGCCAAAAGTACATCAACCAATAACAAAACTATTACTCAGGCTATTTGGAAAGAACCATGGTTAGGATTATTAAAGTCATGAAGCTAGGATATGTACCAAGGTAAGACATGAGAAAATAAAACCTAAAGGAAAATTTCAGGAAAAATCAATTACCACTCCAGGACAACATTAACTGTAGTGAAAAAACAAGCTAGCAAAAAATGAGAAGTTGGTAAATTTGACATGAAGAACAGTTAAAAAAAAAGTAGTCCCTGCCAATTTTCAATTTTCAATAATCAAAGAGAGAAGCAATCTAGAATTAAGGAGAAACTTCCTGACAGTTAGAACAATTAATCAGTGGAACAACCTGACTCCAGAAGTTGTGAATGTTCCAACACTGAAAGTTTTTAAGGTCATTGAACCGTGCTCATCTCCATTTTAAGGTCATTGAACCATTTCATGTGGCCAGCATATATAACTTTTTCTTCCCATCTATTTATCTACTTACATTTGCATGGTTTATGAATTGATAGGTTGGCAGGAGCTGGGGTGAGGATGGGATCTCACCATATCGGGTCTCAAACTGGGTTGCCAATGTTCCAGCTGAGAAGTCCAGCCAGTTAACCACTGAGGCACCACACCCCTTGAAGAGCAGTGAAAGCATTAAAATCACAGCCTGTGAAGCCCAGTAATTGCCAAATAACTCTCTGAGAATACAGAGTAACACAGTTGAAAGGGATGTTGGAGATCTTCTAGTCTAATACCCTGCTCGACCATGAGACCCTGTACTATTGCAGACAAATGGCTGTCCAATTGCTTCTTAAAAATCTCCAATAATAGAGCACCCACAACATCTGAAGGCAAGCCATTCCATTGTTTAATTGTTCTTACTATAAGGACATCTCCTAAATTCTGGGTTGAATCTCTCTTTTATAATCTTCTATTTGTTATTTCTTGTCCTTCCTTCAAATGCTTTGGAGAATATCAAAGTTTAACAGAACCAACTGAGAGACAACTTTAGAGGGGTTAAAAAAACAAACAAAAATGCCAAGTTTTTTCTACTTATCTCAAGATAGATAAGGTAAGATAAGATAAGATAAGATAAGATAAGATAAGATAAGATAAGATAAGATAACCTTTATTGTCATTTTTTTACCATGGACACAACGGCACACATCAAAAATGAAATTTAGTTGCCCGCTCTCAAAGTGAAACACATACATGACACAACCTAAACATACTATGAACAACATATGTACAGACCCATTGTTTTAATACAACAGAATATGGCCAGTATAGCAACTTCATGAATGCCTTATTCTAATTTACATTCAAAAATAGCTGAAAAGAATAACTTAGTAAATCCTGTTGTAAGATTTTTATGCATATGATAGTGTTGGAAAATTCTGATTCCTATTTTTGTAAAGCAGTGAACAAATATTAATACAACCCGAGGCTACCATCTAATAACTTGCTAATTGAATGCATATTAAATATTTTTATATTAAAAGCACTTCTCAAATTCTTCAAGCTTATAACTCTATAGATTCTTTAAATTGTTCTTTTTTGCTTCTGCACCTTCTGCTGATTTTATGATCTTTTTTGCCATGGTCATTATGTGAAATACACAGTCATTAAGCAAATACAGCTTCCAAATTGACTTTGCTTGTTGGAAGCTGGCTGGTTGGTCATGTGTCTGTGAGACACTTCAGTCATCATAAATATATGCCAATTTCCAAGTGCCTAAAGTTTGATCACATGACCATGGGGGTGCTGTTACATGGTAAGTGCAACAACTGATTATAAGTCAGCATCATCATAACTTTAAACAATCTTTAAACAACTGGCTGTAAGTCAAGGACTATTTTTAGTGCTTACAGTTTTCTCACTGTAATAGAGTAGGTAAAGCTGAAGATTTATACATTGTATATAATGGGTTAAATATTTTTATTGTTGTTTTAAATATTCAGTCATGTCCAACTTTTGGCAACTTTATAAGCAAGTGTTCTCCATGCTACCTTTTCAAGCACAGCTTCCTCCAACTGTTGGATGTTCATCTTGGTATCAGTTTTGATGTTATCAAGCCAGCATGTTCTTTGCTTGTCCCTTCTTCTTGTTAGACTAACTATTCCTAGCATCATTGACTTCTCCAATGAATTTGCATGCATGACATCGCCAAAGTAAATCAGATATATTCTTGTGATTTTGGCTAGTTTTATACAATTTAGCACCTCTCTGTTGGTTGCTCAGGCTGTTCATAACATATGCAATAATTTATGCCAGCACCACAGTTCAAAGGTTTCAATTCTTCTTTTATTAGCCATTCTTAGTATCGAACTTATTATCATACATCACTTTAGGAAGGACTATTGCTCTAGCTAGCTGCTTTTTATATTTATATCAATATCTCTGCTTTTTCAGATCTTATTCATGTTAACTATGACCTAAGGTTATCCTTTGTTTGATTTCAAGAGAACTGCCATTGTGAGCAAATTTTGATCCAAGGAAGATAAATTCTTGAACTAATTCAATTTCATCTTGGTTGACTTTGAACATCTCAGGTCCATCTGCAGCTGTTGTCATTGTCTTTGTTTTCCTGATATTAAGATTCGTTTCTACTTTTTCACTTTTGTCCTTGATTTTCCAGATCATTTATCCAGGTCTTCCTTATTTCCAGCCAATAGTGTTGTATCATTTGAATATTTCAAATTATTTGTGGTTCTTCCCTCAGTCTTCATTCCAACATCAGGCAGTTCCAAATCAAATTTCCACATGATCACTTCAGCGTACAAATTGAAAAAAATGGTGATAGAATACATCTCTGTCTAACTCTCTTACTGATCCTGAACCAATCTGTGTCACCATAGAATATTCTCATTGTTGCCTCCTGATAGGAGTACAGTGATCTGATGAGTCTGATCAAGTGGGTTGCACTTGATCATGCAAAGCCACCCATTGCCTATAGCGTTCTACACAGTCAAATGTTTTCTGTAAGCAATAAAATACATATATAGATCCTTTTGATATTCACATGCCTTTTCTATGAGCCATCTAATATTGGCAGCGTGATCTTGAGTGCTGCACCCTTTTCTAAAGCCAACTTGTACATCAAGTAATTCTTGATCGATGACATTCTGTATCCTCTGTTTAATTATCTTTAGCAGAATCTTACTTGAATGAGAAATCAATGCAATTGTGAATAGTTGGACCAGTCTCTGGCCTCATGTTTCTTTACTAGTGGGATAAAAACAGATCTTTTGCAGTCCTGATGCCATTGACAGATAGGCCATATCTCTTGACACAGGAAGCCCTATCAATACCTGGATCTTTCACTTCAGCAATTTCACCATGTCTTATTCTATTTCTTCTTTCATGATTAATTGGGCTGTCATCATTGTCATCTTGATAGTAAGTCAAATTGCTATAGAGGCCTTCTGTGTATCTTTTCTACCTGTTCTTGATCTTCTGTTGATCACTAAGTACATTCCCATTGCAGTTTTGGGAATGTACTTAGTGTAAAACTGGATCACATCATTTTCACTCAAGCAAACATGACCTTAAAATGTCCCTTCCTGCCATCTTCCATCAATTGTTGGGCTTTCTGAAGTCTTTCCTTCAACAGTCATAAAATCCCTGACTACCAAAAGGTAGCTGTTGCTCTTCTCTATAGCCTGCAGGGTCCACTGTTGGTATCCATATTTGAGTCATGTTGAGTTATTGTCATAAAAAAATCTATTGAGATTTTTTACAGGTAGTTCACCATTATTTTCCCTAGCCTTCCCCATTTATCCGGGCTTGAGACTGGCATATATTTGATGAATCAGCCAGAAGACTGGGTTAAACATTATTTTTATGTAACTGAAAATGATCAATGGAGCAATTTCATGAATGGCTGCTACAGTTTTTTTAAAAACAGCTGCAAAGTTGAATACACTAGATTGTCACAGTAACAGTTATTTATATTTGAAAAAGGGTTAGGGTTAGGGTTAGGGTTAAGGTTAGACAACACTGTGCATAGTAGGCCAGTGTCTACATAAGTAGAAGACAGCATTTAAACAACTTTATAAATTAAATGCATATTAATTTCATTGTAATTTCTTTGTTTGATGGTTATGAGCCATTGAGTTGGGCAGCATACACATTAAAAATATATCATTAATTATATCCTAACTCAGACTGAAAGGATGCCTCAGAATTGTTGTTTGTTTGTTTGTTGTTTCTGCTTCAGTCCCAGCCTGTTTCTATATGTACTGAGAGTTGCCGTCCTGGTAGCAGCAAGAAAATCAAGGAAGGACAGCCCTTTTGTTGCTATGACTGCATTCCATGTCCAGATGGGAAGATTTCAGAGAAGGAGGGTAAGAGATGTTATGTTGGGATTTATCCCACACAATGGTAGCAGTTTCCAAATGCAACCATGTATACCTGAAGACTCTTTTTTAACCAGTATTTTGTCCATTATTTTAAATAGGATTGATATAGTATTGTAGTATTAGAGCTTGCTAAAGTCAAATCAGGTGATTATTATTATCCTTTCCAGTTCAAATGCATAAATTATATGAACAATTATATAATTATATAAAGAATGAGAATTCTAAAAATATAATATCACTTTGAATAAACAGATTGTTTAAACAGTTACAGCATTCTTGAAATCTACAGATTAATATTCAAGTGCTTAATTAACAGGGAATAAAAACATTCTAAGTATTCTTAAAAAATGTAAAGTATATTATTAAGATGTACCTTACTCTATATTTTCAAGAATGTCCTCAGATCATTTTATTTTTCAGATACAAATGATTGTTACTTGTGTCCAGAAGGAAGCTATCCAAACAAGAATCAGGATTCCTGTATTCCTAAAACGTTGACATTTTTATCTTACAAGGAACCTTTGGGAATCAGTTTAGTCTTCTTTGTCCTTTTGTTTTCTTTGATCTCGGTGATGGTGCTTGTAATATTTGTAAAGAACCACAACACTCCTATCATCATTGCCAATAACCGAGACCTCACTTACAGTCTCCTCATCTCCCTCCTGCTCTGCTTCCTTTCTGCATTCTTATTCATTGGTCAACCTGAGAAGATGGTATGTCTCCTACAACAAATGACATTTGGGGTTATCTTTGCAGTGTCAGTTTCTTCAGTGTTGGCAAAAACCGTCACAGTGGTTCTGGCTTTCCTGGCCACCAAGCCAGGATCCAAGATGCGAATGTTTGTGGGAAAGAGACTGTCCAACTCCATTGTCATTTCCTGCTCTCTTATTCAAATAGGTATTTGCATGACATGGTTAACAACTTCTCCCCCATTCCCAGACACTGACATGCATTCGGTAGTTGAAGAAATTATTCTGCAGTGCAATCAAGGCTCTGTGACTATGTTCTACAGTGTCCTAAGCTATTTGGGTTTCTTGGCTGTTATTAGTTTCATAGTTGCTTTCATGGCCAGGAAATTACCTGACACTTTCAATGAAGCCAAGTTCATCACCTTCAGCATGTTGGTCTTCTGCAGTGTTTGGATATCCTTTGTTCCAACCTATTTGAGCACCAAGGGGAAGTACATGGTGGCGGTGGAGATATTTTCCATCTTGGCCTCTAGTGCTGGTTTGCTGGGCTGCATCTTTTTTCCCAAATGTTATATAATTGTTTTAAGGCCTGACCTGAACAGCAGGAAAAAATTAATGAATAAAAAACAATTCTGATTTTGATTCAGAATGTCTTTTGTCTAGTTTATACTTAGAAAAACTGTTATGTAGTGAATTCTTGAAGGCAATGACCAGACCGATCTAATGCAACATGTTTTATTGCAAGTATAACAGAACTGAACTCAACCGACAAACTGACAGATATTTATACATGCTGCCACTAAGTGGTGACCAATCAGATTTACAGTTGGTTTACCACTCAAATATAAACTTCAGTTTCCCTCCAAAACATTTGGAGACACATTTACCTGAACACATTAACAGTCAATATCAATACATAACAAAAACAGTATCATTTTCTCCAGATTCTTAAGGTTGCTTTATCAACTGCTGCACTCAGGGGTGGGATTCAGCTGGTAGAACCATTAGCTAATTTTTTATTGACTTTGGTGAACCGGCTGATGTCCTAGCCCTTTTTCGCAAAACACAGAATGGACGGCCAGAAGTGCGTGGACACAACTTCTGGAAGTCCTTTCTGAGCCAGGGAGGCCTCCCAGGCCCAGAACAGACCACCAGAATTGTGTGGACACCACTTCTGGAAGTCCATTCTGAGCCGGGGTAGCCTCCAGGCCAGGAACGGCCTACCAGAAGTGTATGGATGCCACTACCAGAAGTCTGTTCTGAGCCTCAGAGGTTTCCCAGGCCCAGAATGGTCCACCAGAATTGTGTGGATGCCATTTCTGGAGGCCCATTTTGAGTCTTGAAGGCCTGGGGAAGGCCTCCCAGGCTGACAATGGCCCTTTGGAAGTGTGTGGATGCTACTTCCAGTGGATAGTTCTGGGCCTGGAGGGCCTACCCAGCTCAGAATGGACTTCTGGAAGTGGCATCCATTCAGAGAACTAGTTGTTCAGGCATTTGAATCCCATCACTGGCTGCACTCCTGATTTCCATGTGCAGGTATTGGTGCTTCAGTTCACTATGAGAAAAGTGCAAAATGGCTGTACATGTGCATAAGAGGTAGCCCCTAACACAGCCATGCAAAGCTAATGATATACTTAATAACTGGAAAAAGAAGTTTGTTCCACTTATGCTACGTTGCCCAAAACATTACCTAAGGGGATCGCATAGATATAACTATTTCAATGCAGTGGAATATAATTTTTAAAATATTTCTTTATTAAATTAAAGAGAGGAATTTTTGTATTCATATCTTACTATTAAGAATGTGATGTAACATAAGAAATGTACAGAAAAGTGGGTATGAAAATTCTCAAAAATTGTTATAATTATAAAAAACAAAGAATTTTGAAAAATGGACGACCAGGTTGCTGAAAACTCTTCTTCCTCTGGCTCTTTATTGGGAAAAAAGAATAAAATAAAAATTTTATAAATAACAACTTATTGGCTTTCCATCTGGTTTCTTTATGAAGTGTAGATTTATTATTCCATTGAACATTGTTCATTCTTATAAGCATCTACAAGTTCTTTTTTAAAAAAAAACAAGTTTTTTTAATTTTCCAATTTTACAAAAGTCCAAGTATTAAGGAAGCAACATGGTGATTGGGTAATCCATAATACATTAACAAGCTCTTTCATATATATGTCAGGTTACATCATCAAAAATTTCCTCTCTATTTCCCTTGCTTATTATATCACATTCAAATTCAAATTGCTAGTTATAACTCAATCAGTTAAGACATTTATCCAAATATTTTAATTTATATGCCTCTATGTCCTGTTTTTAAGTTTTACCTAATTTCAGTTACAGTATTCCAGTTGGCTTAATATCCATAGTATTTAGATTTCAGGTAGCCCAAAGTTCCCTTAGTTCATTACAAAATAGTTGTCATGTCTAAAATACACATTATTTACTCAGATAAATTCTTACTTTATTTCACAAACATATTCCATTTCTTATCCTAATACCTCATTACTTACCGATAAAATAACCTTTATCATCTCAATCCAACTTCTATATTATAATTCAAAACTATTATTCTAGTGACTATTTTTTATTTCCCTTATAAGTCTAAATTGTAAATATTAAATCTATTAGTATTTTTTAAAATCTCCTTAGCCCATTAAATCAGATTTTAAGCTCTTCCATTATAGGTCACATAAAAAAGTCCCATTTTTTAAGTCTAACTCTAGTTTTCCTTTTGTGCCAAGCAGACTTCCATAGCAGTGCCTTTAAATCCTCAGATGGATCTCCCTTCATTCCTACCCATATCATTTGAATCAAGGGAGACCATCCAGTTATCAATTTTTCAAGGGAGCTGGCCCCTTCATAGTCATTGGATTGTTGGCCTAATAATTCATGTCTCCATATTTGACTTAGTATATTTATTGTCAGTTCAGTCTGGTCTTCTTCTTCCAGTTTCACCTGCATTAAGTAAAAAGTCATGTTCAATGTTGTAATTGTTGTTTGGTTGTCTGGGTTGTCTAGGTTCTCAATGTGCTGTACATGTAAGTCTTCAGCACTTTCCATCTTAGTATTGCTTTCTTCTTTCTGTTGCTGTTTGAATTGCAGATTTTTTATTTAAGATCAAGGTTTGATTATCTGGGTTCTCAGTAGGTTGTAGCTGGTATTCTTTAAAGTCCACTTTAATATTAATTCCTTCCTCTTCTGTTGCATTTTGGATTGTAAATTCATCAGTTGAAATCTAAGCTGCATTTTGTAGCTTTATGGTGGCGCCTTTATCTTTCAGTCTGGAATTCATTAGCTCAGTAGCCTCAAGGATTTTTTCAAGTATAAGTTTGTAGTTAAGTTGTGGGTAGTATTCCTCCATTTCTATGGTTTTTACAGATAGTCCTTTAGTGGAGGCTATTTTTGATAAAAGTCAGTAAACATCCGCCTCTACTATAAAGAGTTGTTTTCACCACCCAGCTGTTTCAAATTCTTATCTTTTTTGATAGTGCCAGGTCTCCCAGTCAAAAAGAAATTCATTTGCTGTACCACATTTCACCACAAGATGACCCCGGTAACATGTAAAGTCTTTTTCCAAACTCAAATTAGGCTTTTATGCAGTTTAAATATATATATTCTTTTTTTTTCAACTTAGCAGATAGATAAGGTAATAGGTCTCTGTAGAAATAGGAACCTTTTGGGACTCCAAATATCCAAAAATTGCAAGTCCAATTATTTAGTTGTTTAGTTTAGTTGTTCTTTTTTATCCCAAAGCTTTATATTCCCAGAATAGGCAGAAGCTGCAAAGATAAGAAGGGGGAAGAACTTTCCAAAGGCTCACCCAATTCCCCCGCATTGCTTTCGTTGTGCTTGGTAGTGCTTTTGGCTTTTGACTGGTACGGCTTAGTGATTGGCCATGTTAATGGCCGATCTTTTCTTTGTCAGTCCAAAGGAGCTGCTTCAGATTAAACGGAAGAACTCCCAGCCTTCCGCGATCTGTTGAAGCTCCTCCTCACAGTGGTCACCCCTCCAGAGTGACTTTCAACCCTTTTCAGGTTCTTCCAACAAAAGAAAACCGGACGGCAGAGAAAGCGCTCTCTCTCTAAACGTCCACCGATGCCGTGATCGCAAACCGGAAGCCTAGCATCTACAAGTTCTTAAGGTTGTGATTAATTCTTATTCCTTGGATTGCATCCAAAGGGACATATGCTGTCTTGACAATCAATGATCAATCAATGATCAATCAATGATCAACTTCAGCCATCATCTGGATTTTAGCCCCATATATAGCAATGCAAGTTTAAAATATAATTTTCTCATACCTGTATTTCATTTCTTACAGCAAGAAATTGCAACTAATTGTTATCCAACGTTCTTTTTGATGTAAAAATAAATATTACACAGTATTTGTTGAATGGATATAAATGAACTGAGCCAGTTTGGTCTAGTGATTAAGACTAGAAAGCAGAAGATTATGAGTTCAAATCTCGATTTTGCCATAAAAGCCAGTTTGGTGATTTTTGGCCAGTCACCCTCTCTTGGGCCAACCCACCTCACAGAGCTTTTGTTGTTGGGAAAATAGGAGACGGAAGGTTTGTTGGATATGTTTGTCATCTTGAAGATCTGGCTCTTCTAACAATTACTGGGCTGGGCTGAGGCTAGAGCAAGTTTGTTGCTGATGTAAGAAAAAGTGTTGTCCTAGCACCAAGGGCTGTTTAGTTGTTGTTTTTTTCTTTTTTTAATGAAATAATTGAAATAATTTAAGCAAGTACTTTCATCTGAACTGTATTTTTGTGTCTATTTTGTATCTAATTTGTTCTATCTCAATGATATGTGTGTGTGTGAAACTGCATTTCTCAGCTCTCAGCAAAGCAGTCTTATGGCTATCTTATTGACCTCTTTTTGTCTTCTATTTAGGTAATTGCTGGAAATGCCAGTAATAATTTACATAAAATTGCCAGCAATCTAAAATTCTGAAACAAATAACTTATGTGAGAGACAAAGAGTTGTTGAAAGTAGAGCCTGATCTCATCAACGAGATCTTTGTTCACCTCACAAAACCCAATAATCCCAATTAGAAAACCTACAACATCCCTTAAAAATACATTAATGCCCATTTTAATCCTACTATGATGGTTTCTCAAAATCTTAAATAAACTCTTCTGAGGGAATCAATTCCATTTCCTCTTTGACAACTATCCAAATGTTGCTAATGCTCCTTGCTTATATCTTTCAGATATTATAATTTTAATATTAAATAGTCCTATCTTTTACCAATATTTTCACACTACCCTCTTTTATAAAAATATCCATCTCTGCTTTATTGATATTACAGTATATACAGAACTCTAAGAATACATGACAGAAAGAAAAGTTTCAGAATAATAAATAATAAACAATGCCCCATTCAATTTGAATGTTGGGCAATATGAAAACAGTACAACACCCCAATTAAGAATGACCAGAGAACATGCCTGAATTTTGGGGAACAAGGATTTTGTATTCTTTCTGATATTAGGAGATCATAAAATCTATGAAAGGAGATGGACGTGGGCTGTGCTTAAGACTATCAGCTTCTATTCTATAGTTCATTCATATGTCCAATAAGTTATACTATTGTCCAAATATCATATGATCATGCAGGACAGCA